ACCTGAAACGTCACCACGGCAGACACGCAGATATATTAATAAACTGAGAAAGAGCACTAAGGACTGTTTGCAGATACAGTGAATATTTAAATTGTTGAGGAGATGTTGCTGACAGAGCCCTGCCCGTACCAGGAAATAACCTGCAGCTGTATTGCCTCGTAGCTTATCGATTTCTTTCTTAAGTCTTCGGGTTCTTTCCCTTTTCCTATTAAACACAGTATCAGTCAGAAGAAATTTTAAAAACCCGTCACAATGCTGTAAATGCATCTTCTGTGTATCACGACAGAGTTTCTGGCCCTCTTCAGGCTGAAAAAAATACCACACCTGCAACTGCATGTGTACAATAACCAGCAGCAGCAAAGGCTACCGGCCGAAGAACCCCCTCGGTGGCCTTCAGGTGTCAATACTAAAACCAATTCAATTGCTTGTGATTTATTCCAGTTTCAGTGACGTTTGTAGCGCTGCCCTGGAACGAAGCTGATGGCGTTACAAAAGGTGATCGGAGCGGGGAAAATGGGAACGGGTAGCGGAAAGGAAAAAAGCTGTATTAGGAACCCAGACTGTGTTCAAAGACGGTCAGAAACAATCGTGTGCTGGCCATGCCGTGTTTCTAAAATTACATCTTTGACAGTCCTATGGTTGGTTTTAATTTGACCTGTTCCTAAACGCGCTCTTTACTCTGAATTCCATCCTTCAGTAAAGAAACAAGATGCGATACGTAAGCTTTAGGTTTCTTACAGTGAATGCAATTCACTCAACCAGTTAAAAATCTCACTGCTATTCCTGATTCTTAAATAATCACAAAATTTATCTGTTGCTTATTACAGGACTTTTGAAAGTTGACTCAACATTTTTCAATTTAAAGGAACAGCCAGCATTTTGCATCATTTTATTTTGGCCTTCGAAACTAATTTTCCAAAAGCAATCAATGCAAAATCCTGTAACCAGGGTCTGAATATTGCTTTATGCAACTCCAACTGAAGCTTGAATTTTCTGGATTTGTCACCTTTTGAAAAGATTCTGATTTCGTCTCACACATTTTAGTGAATTAACCAAGAAACAGTCTGTAAGGAAAACAAACGGTGACAAAATATTGTGACACAACTGGAGGCAGTAAGATTCAGACACTCTAACATTTAAAACAGGAGGCTGCCCAAGCACATTAAATAGCTTTTTTTCTTCTACAATAGATACTTAATGGTGAGTTTTGAAATGGTTCTGTAGTTATGGCCAATTATAATGGCTTATGGAGAGAATATTTGTTGCTTGTTTTTCTGTGTTTTGTTCTATTCTGGTATTTTTGGCTCTTCTTTATTCCCACGCTTGGCCCTTTTTTTGTCTTCAGTCTGATCTTCGTTATCTTTAGGTTTGCTGCTAGGTAAACTCCCATCATGTTGCCGGTCCTGCTGGTTAATTAAGAATCGCAGTGTAATAACAGACAATTCTAAAATTAATTTGACTAGAAATTTAATCTAGTGATTTTGATACTATTTAGAGTTCCTGCATAGTCCTGTATTATTTTATGTAAAAGGGGGACTGTTCAAAGAAGAAAAAAGGCAACACTAACAGGCAGGTGACGTTATCTTTCCTCTAAAAGAGGTCTGCAGGCGTTTTGAGAGTCTGAGGTGGCAGTTTGAGTCCTGAGACTTGGAGTCGGAGTCCAGGAGGCATCGCAGACTTCGACAGCCCAGCGTCTGTTCAAAACCAACCAGAAGGCACCCAATATACTTTGTAAGCCACTTGGCCACCAATCTTCAGCTTGAATTCTGAGTGGGCATCTAAGCACCTTCAAGGCCGTGAAGGTACGGCTGGGCAAGGTCTGGCCCCAAATCTTGTCTCTGACAGTGGTCACAAGTGGATTCTCAGGAGAAGGATGAAAACAGAGCCAGCGTATCCATTCCCGAGATACTCTCCCGGCCTCCAACAATTTGCAGCTCAGAATCCCTCTAAGCCGGAGACTGTGTCAGCGATAACAGTTAACAGTTTTCTCTCTCATGAACTCATACAGTCTCCCAGCAAGGGTCGATGTAAGTATAGATGAGATTGTCCAAAAACTGAACTGCTGACTTGCAGCTTCTTAGCATACTTTGGAATACCATCTATTAATAAGTATTACAGATATCTTTCTCTAGCCATTCCGAACAGGCCATCATGCAATCGCTCTATTGTTTTCTCACTTACTCTAGTAGTAGCAGAACCACATTTTTTGCCATGTACGGACTAACTGAAACTTGACTTGGTACAGAAAACAGGAAGGAAAATGATGATAGAACGGCGTAAGAGCATCTCATAGAGCGCACGTGCCTCAAATGCATACGTTAACCAGTTAAAAATCTGGGAATTTATTTGCTCCCTACAATCGTCATTCACGCTGCAAAATACAACTGCACTGCTAAGGTGTCTCAGTACTTACTGCTCTTTTTGCATGTAACTGGGGCCGGATCCTGATATTCTTTTCCAAACTAGAGAATGTCTCCACAAATGGCCTCACGCCTGTCTAATGTGCGCTTGTGGAGGCAGCAGTTCTCTTGATATTGAATATAATTAGAATCTGGGCCTCGGGATGAAATTTTTTATACGCTGACAGACTTCAGACGTGCACAGTGGGATGAAGTCCTGATAGAGACATTGAGCACAGTTTTTGAATTCTACCCTTCGCGCAGTGACAAAATAATTGTTCAGATAACTAAATGCAGCATCTGAGCTAACAAGGTAAAACACATCGATAATCCTGTCCTGCATCTTGGTTTGCCCAATGTTATGTTTGAAATGAGGAATCTAAAATCAGTCTCATTTTCAGATGGAATAGATTTTTACACAGTTCAAACTCACAAACTACATTATTTTTAATCTGTTGCCTACTACATACCAATGAGGAGAATCTGGGTATCGTGTCTTAAACTGCTATGCAAATGATGCTATTTGTAAGTATTAACATAATTTACTGCTTACAGTCATGTTCTCATTTCTAATAATTCTACCAGAATGGAGAGTCTTTTCACTGTACTCTTAGCCTGCAGGATAGTCTTTCATCAAGAAGCTGAATTTTTTAATAACCTGCCAGCATACGTTTTGTATGTGGCAGCCTATGCTGATGACACAATGTCTTCATTATCAAAAGAAACAGGTCTACATGCTGTAATAGGACATTAAAGCATGCCTGTGCTCATAAACTAATGCTTTGATGTTTAAATGTGTATCATTACAATGGTATTCCTTAACAAAGGACGATTTTAATCCTCTGCTCTCAATGGTAATACTCAGTGGAGACTGCAATTCATTATATATAAAAAAGGTCTCCCGTTCTACAAAAGAAGGCTAAACTCAGAAGGCAGAAAAATTTGAACGCACGTATTCAAACGAGACGTTCAACATGACAGCAAGTTTCAGGCTTTGCCAAAGCCTGCCTTAATACTGGGCTGGATTTACGGAAGTTTTCCTGCTGACTCCAGGAAATTAGATCGAATGCGTTACTCTGTATATATTTTCCAACTTCCAACAAATGTTTATGTTTAAGGGCTTCTAATGGGTTGATTCCTGGTTGCATCAAAGCTCAACGTAAATGCAACATAAAAGGGAAACCAATGAAAGCCAGTTACCACTACGTCCTCGATTCAGAGTCACTCGGCCCTGAGAGAATTAAAAAGGCACAGGAACAGGAGCACTAATTCCAGCACTAGGTAACGCCACCTCTACAGGCAAAGAACTAGACTTGGTGAATCACGTCTTCTGCTCCACTGACTCAGATGGTGGGAGCAGGATCTGGATACACTGGGAGCTTTACGTCCCAGTGAGCTCGGTGGCCAGGCCATGCTTCCACTGGGGTGGCTCGCCAGTGCTCTGCTTTTATACTGCTTGACTTGTGCAGAGTGAAGGATCTTTAGCAGATCAGAGAAATTAGCCCTTCAGCTTCATAGGATAAACTCTATTTTATAAGGTGGAATTATTTTGTAGTTGTCAAATGCAACAGAACTGTAATCAGCACAATTTGAAATTTTAATATACAATATAATTCAATCAAACAAAAATTTCAAAACAGTTTTGATTGAATTAAAAAAATCAAAAGAGCTATAATGAGTAGTTTATGTAAATGAAACAATTCTTTCTGGATACATTCCTTCTGGCTTTAAAGCCATTACATCAGGAATGAATTTGGCACAACATACAGAAATATCAAATGCTTATTGAAATTAACACATTTAAATACCAATGAATATTTAAACTACAAATAGTTCTCTGAATGCCAGAACTAATGAAGTCTTGTTTCATATGGATTTTTCTGCAGTTGAAATGTATAACCTTACAACCTCTCTCAATCACGTGGATTCTTAGGAATCTACTAGTCCATGAGTTCATGCTACCTATTGTTTCCCTCAGTTAAGTCTTTATAAGATCTCTCTCCTCGCCTAAACTCCCACTGTAATGAAACACGCAGGCGTCTAATGATCTCGGAGACCTCAAGTCTTCTGCCTGATACAGCTGAAAATAGCTAAGAGGTTTAAAAGTCATTAGTGAGGAAAAACGTACAGAAAAAAATGATCCTTAGAAAGCCTGATTAAAAAGTAATCAGTTTGTATGTGGTTTCAAATTGATGAGTATTGTTCAACTATTAGTCCAACACTTGGTTCCAATAATTCCGAATTTCTCTGTAGATAGAAGGTTCTGCTGCCTATATACTTTCATTTACACATGTCCTCCCTTTGGATCACAGAGCGCTATGTAAAATTTGCATATTATTTCATATGAAAGAAACGTTGCAACACCCAACTTAGTCCACAGTTGGATGGCAGGCATTCCTTTATATTTTGGAATATTTAACTGTTTTATTTGAATTACCGTTACCTATTACTGTGTACAAGCTAGTGTGGACTCTGTAATATCAACTCTTACCAATGCCTTAAAATGAAAGCGCAGAGAAAAGATTTACTCAGGAGGAAGAGCCGGTGGATTATTAAGAAGCCACGACAAGAAGCAAGACACCCTGCTCCTTCGCTACTTACACGCGCCCACTTCTTACTCCATTTCTCGGGGCTGTATCTCTGACGTTCCCTTTGAACCCAGTGGTAGCATTCCAAATGCGAGGTAATGTCACAATAGGCAGTGCCGTTTCCTCCAGACCCATCATTCACTTTAAACAGCCAGCGCCGCACTTCCAGGTTGTCAACGATCAGCCGGCTGAGCACACGAATCATCTGCGGAGCAAGCAGCGACACGAAGGTATTTTGCTTTATGACAACAGCAAATTGTTCCTTGACTTCCAGTTCTCAAATATTTCGACTCGAAATTTATTTTCTAACTGTGGTTTCTGTTTCTTGGCGATGCTGGTGCTGTTAGTTATCGCGGAAACGGAGCCAACGCAAGCCTGAACTTTTTTTGATGAAGAATCTATGGCCTTCACGCCGTACTGGAGTCCCCATGGGCAGATGACTACAAGAGCAGCAGAGCGCCTTTGCTGGTCAACGCAGCTGGGTTCTGCAGGGAGGAATTTGCCCGTCCAGGCTTTTTTGTCCCATCAGGATCTTAGGTTTTGAGTAATCAGTACAGCTCAATAAATGGTTGCGACGGGGAATAACACGGGATGGACTACGCTATTCGTAAAATCTGAGAAACAATTGTGCCAGATTCTAAAACCAGCCAAAACATCTGTGAAATTTTCCTACTGGAGAGTACATTATATGGTTATAAATAGACGAAGGAGTTACCAGGCAGGCTTTATAAAAATGCTAATTATTTATTTGTGTATGTACACAGATTTAAATGGCTTTAAAATGCCTTTTGCCCAGCTGGTGTAGGATGCAATTAGCTTCTTAGAAACTGCAAATGCCTTTGAACCTGGTAAAAGTATTATCAGATCTTCTGGCATTGGCTAGATCCTTCTATATTTTTACATAGCAATTTTGGGGACTTTTGCTTATTTTTTTTTTTAATGTTGACCAAAAATACATGTGCATTCCAGATGCTATTATTTGTGGCTTTTGAGAAACGCATAAATGTGGTTTTCTAGATGACTCCCCTACAGTAACAAAAAGAATCAATAATACTGTAAGGACTGTACCAATCATAAAGAATTATGTGCTATCTTTAAGTGAAAATTGAATTGTGCTTTAACATAGCGTCACCTGCTTTGATTATTTAACCTAAAATGTCAATATTTCATACAAGAAAACAACAGAAGTAGAACTTCCATAACACCGTACTATGATTCAAAAGTATTCGATTCACATAAATTATTTAACAATAAATCAAACGGTTGTTTTTCAGATCGTTGATCATGTATTTATTTCATCTACTAGGGAAGTTGCAATGTATTTATGTAGCTTAGCTTGTCTTCAGTGTTAAAGGTGATTAATAAAAAGCAAAGCAATGTGAAAAGCCTCTCTGAGAAGTAGGAATACCTCCAAAACCACCGGGCTGATTATTTTCCTGTATGAGATGTAGCACTACCACACAACTATTTTTAAAGAAATCAGTACGGATCGTACCTAGACATCTCATTGCAAATTACAAAATCAGCTTATAGGATGAAATACTGAGGCGTCGGATGTAAAGTAAACAGACGTAAATTGCACACAGCACAGAAAACTCTCGTGCCTTGTAATTTTAGTTTTGTACTATTTTGCTCTTTTCTTCCTGGTCACGCTGACAAGATAGGTGAATTCAGCAGTGATCAGCTGGATCCAAAGTAAAACTTCAGTTGCAGACGTGCTCAGTGAACTTCAATTCAATAGGCTGACTGCCTGAGTGGAAGAAATCTTCCCTTCATCAAATACTTCATTTTCCCAGAAATCCTTGCTGTCTTTTCAGTCACTGGTAAAATTCCTATTAATTTCACCGAGGCCACGACTTCACCCACGGAGCAGCGACACAAACCGCTTGAATGCCCTCATATATTCTCAAAACAGACCATGGAGAACGCTAGAGCAATCGTATTACTTCCTGACGAGGACACAAATTGCATTTAATTGGTCAGACAGAGCCAGAAAAGAACCCAACCTCAGACCCGATTTAATGAAACCCCGCTCGGATCGACTCGATAAGAGCCGTTGCCACCGTGCAAAGTTTGCATCCGATCAAGTGAAAAGAGGCCTCTGCACGCCGGCCCACCCCGGCCCACCTCCTGCTTACCTGTTCACTGCTGGAGATGTCCGATTCTCCGGGAGGGGTTGGCACACAAGCACTGGCAAAAATTCGTTTACTTCCCGCCTTGGTGCTATAGAGATGAGCCACTTCTGGCACCGAGCCTAATATAGGCACATTTAGCATGTCAGCCACTGCTAAATCATCTTTGTGGGGAACCCCGCCAATAATGTAGGCATCTCTGCTCTGGATAAGAATTTTTATTCTTTTGATTGTCTTGGGGCTGTACTTCAGCTGAGTGGCTAGACACATGCGATGCTTCTGTATAAAGATAACATTATTCATGTTAAAAGGTGTTCTTTTCTATTCCATGAACCTAATTTATAATGTGGCACACAATAAATACATTATTAATAGCAGGCTGGGTTATGACCTATCCTGTAGCTTAGCAGTTTAAATTGATAAAAGCTGTTGGGGTGAGGCTCCATAATCGTGCACATCTTTAGTGTGTTGGAAATGGGCTCACTGGGAATAGAACTAATTACTACACATCTGTATTTATTTGATCCATGCGGAATTATCCTTCTGTCAGTCGGCAGAGAGGCTGGTGGCCTTTGGATAATAGTGATTCATCTCAGCAACACTTCTGGCATGGTTTAACTCTAAAGCTCCTAGAAATCAATACAAAAATGAAGAAAAACCCCTATAGCAGGGAATGTATTTCACCATACAGTTCAGCAGTATTTTTAAGCGACTCTCTGAGTATAAAACACTTTGATTTACAAAAGCTTTCACTGATCACATTAAATTACTGGGGATATACATTTCCATTACACAGCAGTTCTGATCGCTACTGTAAACGCAACTGCAGAGTACTCAAGGAGAGGGTAGTATTTTTGTGGTTTAAAGTACAAGGGTTTCAACTTTTTGGAAGGAATTTTTCATTTCTTCTAAAAAGGAAGATCTATTGCTGAACAAGCTGTTCATGACAGATACTATACCCTCTAAATTTAAACTAAAAATACCAGTCATGGCAGGTGAAACCTCAAAAATATTTTCTACAGCTTATCCTCTGCATGGCCCGCTGATAACCCAATTGTCTTTCTGAAGAGACAGAGGTACACTGAGGTTCAGACAGATGGGGATGGACCTCACGCAGAAATAGAACAAGAGACATCCACTGCAATTAACTGCCGTAAACAAGTCAGAATGGTAACAAGAAGAAAATCATCTCCACATTGAGATTTCATCTAATTCCGGCCTTAGTCAGGAAATTTTTCCTTTTCAGCATAGCGTAAATACTGGATTTGCCAGGGATTTCCAGGACTGGAGAACCCAGAATATTTTCCTTCAAAGTCCTGGATGATGTTTCACAGGGACTGAAGCATAAATCCTGATCCCACCACGTGGACGGGGATGATGGTGGAAAAGGAGATGGGGGACCCCCTGGAAGGGGACAAAAGGAATCCCCCTTCTGTCAGTTCCTCAGTGCTTTCTCATACCACACACAGCTCCAAAAAGCGCCCAACTCCCCCTGTAAAGGAGTCAGACATACAGCAAGGACAGCAAGGATGTAAGTCAGAGAAATGAGATACTCTTCAAAGTTGTAGTAAGAAAAAGGGAGTCGTGGAAGTGTAAGGGCAAAAAGAACAACCAACAAGCTTCCTGGAGTCTTTTTCTTTCCACCAGTTTTAAAAGTGATACTCTTGATGTTCTGATTCATTTGCTTCCTCTCTCCTGAGCACTGGTATAAAACCAGGAGCCGGCCCATTTTGTTGGTCTCGTGGCAGAGTTCTGCCACGTAGAGAACAGGATCAATTCCCAGCCCCGGTCACTTGCTCCCTGGGGCCACGAGTGGTGATGTAGGGACGAGATTTGCTTTGTGTCTCTCAATAATGGATTTTACAGTTAATTAAGGAGTGCAGGAAACAGGCTGTAAAATCTAGTTCATTCCTGCTTTGAGAGTGGTAGAGCTGCCATGATATATAGTGAGTGAAAGGAGGTAAAAGCAGGAGAATCGAGGAATCCTCAGAATTCCAGCACGACTGCACAGAACAGTGGCTAGGAGGTTAACCAAAGGGCTATTTCTTGGCTCTCAAGCCTGTTGATTTTTAATTTTTGTTTTGAAACTTCTCAAGATCAGACAAGCTGACCTTGGCATCAGCCTCAGCACAATGGGCAAAGCTGCTGCTATGCTGTTTTGATACGCTACTAGCTGAGAATCAGCGTTGTGTAAGCCTTTGTTGGAAGTGTTTCACACAGCACCTGGATGTGCTGAGTCACAAGAGGTCATTCTAATAGCGAGCAAATGTCCAAAGACACCGGTGTATGGACACCCTTTTCTCACAGTCTCTCTGCAGGCACCAAGGAGCACAGGGCTACCTGCGCCTGGGTTTTTCCAGAGATTTTCCTTCCATCCAGTTCCATCAAAATAGCCAGGAAACTGGCCAAGGCTGATTTGTGCTTCTAGAATTGCTCAAAGGAGCCTGCTGAGGTGGCCTTCAAGCCACGCTTTTATATATTGGGAATAAATTAAGATATATTAGGTGCAGCAAAAGCTTTTTATTAAATAACCTAGAAGAGAGATGCTTAAAAAGAACCTATAAAGCTCTAACCTTTACACGGACAAAAAACGAAAGGTAAACCCATGGTCACTGAAGCCAAGGAATGAGTAGGATCAGTTATGAATACAGATTCTTCTCCACAAAAGGAGATGGATTCCTTCGACACATTAGGTGGGAGAGAAAATCAAGGCAGTTTGAGGATTTTGCACATAAACAGGTGCACCACGCTGACCAGCCGAGGGCACGTCACCTCAACCCGGTGTCACGTACCACCCGTGACTGCCCATTCCCTCCGATGCCACGAATACACTTCTCTGCGCTCCCCAACCGAGTTACCCATGTAACTAAGGTTACCTCCCCACGTCACAGCATGGAACTTTTCCCAGTAAATCACAGCTGCATAATAAATTTTCACAAAACTCTTCACCTGGAAGAGAAACTTTGGAATATTTCAACAGAAATCGGAAGAGATGCATGCCTGAAAATGACCTGCTTTTACATTGAACCTACTTCAGCCAAATCATCGTGACCAAAATCACCCACGAAAGACATTGGCCATTCCTGAACAGCCTGTCCACGCTTAGCAACACATCTCATATCCGTAATATGATGTGGTTTAGGTGATATTTTTAGCATGTTTTATATAGAAGGCTTTCTAAAGCTTCTAGTATTTGGTAGTTAATACTGGAAAATAACCCAGTATCCAAAGGAAGGAAAAAAAAAAAAAAAACCAAACAAACAGCTACAACATCAAAGTGCAATTTAAAAATAAAAAATATAACACTGATATTTATCAAGGATTTACCATCCCAGTAATTTTACTTTACAAAGTGAAGGCCCAGCAGAGGCAGCTGTGATTCTTCTTTGTTGCCAGTATTCAGATAAAAGGAGAATACTAAAGAAAAGCCAGCTCCTAAAACCACAAGTATCATATCTTGATGCTTTTCTCCAACTTCAGAGAAAACAGAACACATGGATATCTACAGAATTCATTTTAACTAGGGCAAAACTATCAGACAGCTCTGACTCGGGGTTCCCTCCCTGTACAGCACAAGAGCCAAGCACTTTGCTCACATAGGTGTCTTCAGACTATTGCAACAGAAGAGGATCCGTACATATATGCAAGTGTTTTGCTGAACAGCACGCTACCATAGAACTACATTTGAAAACCAACACATTTATTAAATATAAAAAGCTTCTTTACCTTCTGAAGCCATCGATTAGCATATGGTATAACAAATACTTGTTCGACAAAATAACTAGAAGAGGGTTATGAATAGATGCTGAAAACAGGGACAGGGCTTCAAGCATATACACGTACCACGCATAAACCACAAGATATAAAGATATACCACAAGATATAAACGTACCACGAAGTTTCGTAAAAATCAAATCTCCAGTAAGACCCTGTGGACTTACTATTTAGAATATAAAATTATTCTCCAACTGTAAAGAATCTTCACTGCACTGCAGTATTTTCAGAAGCACTGCATGTAGTGTACGTTAATTAAGGCCTCTTTTTAGACCACGTTTTAGCACATGGATTTAAATCTGATCTGACAGGTTCGGAACTAATATTTCTCTATTACCTAACCAAAGTAGTTTTAAGTTCTGTCCTTTAAGAAGTTCTGCATTGGATTTAATTGCAAGAAACGTTACAAACACATGAATGATTGAATGCCGAGCTACCCAGAGATAAAGTTTGAGTAATAAGAATGGTTTATCGCTACAATTTGCTTAGAGATATAAATCTATCAAGTTCCCAGTCCCAGGCATATAGTAAGAAGGGACAGCGCTCTACAAATAGCCAATATAGGACTATCTCAACTAAGTCTATAAAGCTAAACTGGGATATTTATTTCCAATGCTCTAACTAGTAGTCTAATCAGTAAAGCCCTTAAACTTGCAATAATATTTCACTGATGTGTACCAGAGCGTTACAAGTTATAAAATTTCCAATTTAATTTTACTGCGTCCCTCAAGCTGTAGTAATTAGAAGACAAACTCACAGGGAAGCTGTTTATAGCTTCAGGGGTGAGAATTCTGAACCTGTCCTGCAGGTCACCCATGTCCTCAGGGTTCCCAGATCTAACAGCTGCCTGCAGACCCAGGAGTTTATTGTAATACTGCAGTAACTCCTCACTCAGATGAAGGGGGCAGATGTAGATGACGTCCACGTTGGCATCTAAAACAAAGGGGCACAATGTTCATTACTGGAAGAAAGGTAGACTCCATTCAGAACAGCAATCTGATAACTCCTGATCATTTGCTAACAAACGGCTTCCCTAACAGAGCACTGGAAATAAAAATGAGATCTGTAATTCCCGAATCTTAGCGCTTTAACTGCTTTTTCTGCGCTTCAGCATTTCTCTGAAGACAGGTCAGCAACCCAAAGAAATAGCTAGTTTTCGGAATTCAATCTGCAGAACATATTGGGGGCAGAATTTTGAAAGTGTTGCAGGGGGATTTATATGCGCGACTCACATTAACATCAATGGGAATTGCGCGCTGCTTTAAAAATATATCCCATTAACTTCAGTAAATTATAAAACTGAGCTATTAAGTTTAGAAAGCTGATGAAATTGCAATTTCATACGCTGCCTGGATTTTGCACGGCCTGTTCCTATTCTTGTCCTGTCCACATAAAAGCTCACGGTAGGATACCATTAATAACTATTGCTGAGCATGTGAGTGTGCAGATTAGCTAGTTAAACACCACAGTGTGAAAATCTGGTTTTCTGCATGTAAACAACTTGGGCTGAAAGACGGTGTATACACAAACACTCAGCGGTGAGAAAGTCTTTAATATCTGGCATTTTGGAAAATTTTAACTCCTCTGCTCTTCTAAAATATTAATGTTATTAGATGAGCTAATAAATTAATGGGCCTTGCGATATCAATCGAATTCGCTGACAGAAAGCACTCCTAGATTTTGATCCAACTCCTGCTGAAATCAGTAGGAAGTCTTTCATTGTCTTTCCTGGGCACAGGAACAAGAGCCTGGCAAGCGCCGGGGACAACTGCTCTTACACGTGAATGAATCAGAAGCAAAGCAAGCATTGGACTAAGGAAACTCTGAGCCTAATGTTACAAAAGGAATAAGATATCCCATTCATTCACTTTGGTTTGCCATACTGCTGCAGGCAAACAACCCACATTAAAAATGTAAGGCCAGAATCTCAACTGAAGCATTGAAGTAGTACAGCATCCGACCATCAGCCCTGTGTCTGAAACCTCGACAGAGCCTTTATATAAATACAGCTCATTACCATATAACTTTTTCAAATAATTAAAAGAACAGTTCGCGACAACTGTTAGTCAATACTCTCTTGCTTTTAGGCATTTACTCAGACTCGCAAAATGAGCCTGAAAATTTACCGGCTAAGGTACAAAAAAAACTACCTCCCAGTGTTGGCTGTAATGCTGAACGGACTGCACCGTCAAAAACTGATAAGCTCAAGTGAATTTGCTGAATAAAAGGCTGCAACACTTTTCACTACTCTTAGCACTGCCCTATAAAGAGATATACAAGTCTCTTGGACACAGCGAGACAGATTAACTCATAGGAGGTCACAACAAGCAAGGAAATCCTCTGGTATTCTGAAGAAAAAGAAAACCAATATGGTAAATATCAACGCTCTTCTGCCGGGCACAGGTAAAGCATCTGGTCTAGCTTAATAATTTAGTTAGTATCTAACTAGTTTGTATCTTACTCAGGGCCTATTTTACATTTTACAGTAGAACCAATTTTCATGTTCACAGATTTTAAAGTGAGAAAGAATGCCTGTTTAATGTGTTGACTTTGTCCCTTTAAGTCTCTAAATACCATTTTGGAGACAAAAAAACTACGTTAAAAAAATGGAAAACAACCCTCAACAAACCGTACTGTGGAAAAACAATATTAGTGCCTAGATAATATATAAAGGCAATTACATTATTATTTTAGGCAACTGTAAATTTCTCGATCTAATATATTTTTGTTACAAACTTACTAAATGGCATTTATAAAATAATAATGATACTGAAATATACATGAATCATGTAAAGTATGTCATTCCAGGGAGCCAATGAAGTTGGTCACTGACAAATAATACTCTTCACTGCTTTGCTTAACAGAGGAGTGTCATTCTAGGAAAAACTTTTAAATGTATGCCTTTTGCCTCATTTGCTAATTTTAAAACAACTGGTTTAAATAAGGGCTTACTCTTTTCTAGCACATCTTTCTCTCCGTATGAGCCCGAATGAACGCTAGCAGTATTAGCTACCTAATTTTGTAGAACACTAAACACTTTTGATCGTTTGTGGTGCTCAGCATGCCACAGGATGAGGCTGCTTTACCTTATCACGGAGTCGGAAAGAAGCAGCATGTTCTTCTTATGAATAATGTGGACAGGAGCAAATGCCAGAGCAGACGGATTACTTCTGAGCTTGTATGTTCTCTATATTTAGCATTAATACGAGAAGAAAGTCCTCATCGGTCATTCTCTTTTACTCACAACTACGGGCAAATAATGATCAAGAAAGAGGCAGCCAACAGCTCATAACATACCCAGTATGTCACACAGCCTTCCCATCTGCATATTCTGTTGGAGAGCAAGATCAGGGATATGCTCACGGGCACACTGGGAATATCCTGGAAAACAAGTAAAGCCCCCCACAAACTGTATTCAGAAACCTCCTGGTACACATTTGAAAGAAAACACACTTTTGGATTCAAAAAAGCTGTAATAAAAGTATTTCAGATCTCAAACATGGCATAGCACTAATTGCGTCATCTTTATGGATTTACTTTTATTAGTAAACTGATGTAGCATCATCTTTATGTCGTGAGACTTTAAATACAGACCTAATAGTTACAGACCTATAGAGCTTTATAATTTAAACACATAGACTGAGTATTTTGTTTGAGTCTTCTAAGTTGCTAGATTTTTTTTTTTTTTTAAACACTGGGAAAAAAAAAAAAAAAAGACACCATCATTAAGCAAGAATCCTGGTACACTTTGTTCTTCACACAGATAAAAGGCAACAAACCCACTTCATTAAGGAGATGTCTCAGCGATACCTGATCACTTTGTTGCAGAGGATGAGTGGCAGCCTGTCTGAGCTCGGAATATCTGTTTGGAGGTCAGACTTCCAACTGCTTGCATGCTCACATTCAAAGACTGCAGTAAATGACATGACCACTGTAACTATAATCTCTGATCCTGTAATTTTTAAATTCAGCTACTTCAAAACCACACACAACCACACAGTGGGAGCTGCTAGCTGCAATAGCTGTGATTGAGTCATTAAGGTTCAGCCTAACATCCAGCATTTGGCATAAAATCTTGACTGATCCAGTGACAAGATCCTTACACCATTTCCATATACCCGCACATAACCAATCATCTGAAACATATATAAAAAAACTTAGTTTGACTAAAATCTGCTCAGGATTTCAGTGCTTTCATTTTGGAAGACAGTAACAGTGGATCTTCCAGGCAAATTACAAGGACAATCATTACAAGCAATCAGCATTCCAAGGTGCTGCGGCAATGACACTGCACACAGGACAGCAGAACATAGTAAAATACAGAGAAATGGAAATCACCAGTTTTGTTTTTAGTAATTTCTTGCAAAACTTGCATATTGTAGTTAGCACAATGGTACCAGGCACCCGCAGAACAACATCAATGTAAAAGATACTGATTTTTTTGCCACTCTAATATTAAGGTACAGTAATTTGAAAAAGCTTGCTCTGTTTACTTAAACTTTAGTTCCAAGGCTTCATTTTGTCCTCTCAGGTGGGGACCAATTTTAAACCACTAACAATTCTTCCTAATAATTTAAAAACATTTAAATTTCAAATGTAGAAAGTAGATGGTTTCCCTGTACTAAACAGTCTTCTTGAAAGCACATCTGTTTGTAAGAACTAAATCGGGGCAGAAAAATAACACGCACACATCACTTGGAAAATCAGTAATTATTTGAAAGGAATAATATTTAAAGTAGCAAGCAAATAAAAGTTAAAATTTGCATGTTACTATGGTTCTGCAGATACACTATAGCATTATACCAACCACCACATGTACTTTTCTTAGATACGTTAATAAAACATATTAATTCACAATGTATTAGCTTCCATTGACATGACCCCATTAGAATTTAACGAGAGGAATATTCACTCCTTGTGAGTCACTCACCTTCCAGTGCACACTATGAACCACATTAATCCCCACAACTGATACATTCTGAATGCTCTGTACTTCCACAAATGCTCATCTGACAATGCTTATTAAAGGCAGAGGCTTAATATTCCTTTCCTTGCAGTTTAAACAAAATTCAACCCAAATGAATTACATATACTGTGATCACAGTCTACATATTGCAGTACAACCACAGCCTGTGCCATCAGTTCTGTTTTGTTACGTGCAGCTGGTTTAGGTATCACTGACATTTCGTGCCACAGCATTTGAGACCAAACGCGTGCAACTTTTCAGATAAATTTGAAGCCACATCTCCTCCTTTGATTCAAAGAGCCAGTACGTCAGTTGATCTGTACCTGCAGTCTGCAAATTAAACTGCAAATGGTGTCTGAAAATAGTGACCTTGATGAAAGCCGGCGGTGGCAGAGCACTCGAGGCTGTGTAGCTCATGTGCACGAGGCATCAGCGCACCGCGGCATCCCGCTGGAGGGGCTGGTCCACGGCAGGGCCGACCTTGCAAAGTAAGAACTAAGAATTCTGATTTTTTACTTCAGTGGCACCGAAAGGACTCCGAGGGCCTTCCTCCTGCACACGAGTTTTACGGTAGCGCGTGTGCCATGACTTCCGTGGAACGCTCCCAGTTCACACAGAGGGGAGCACAGGGAGAGTTACAGAATTACTAAAAGGAGGGGTGTATGAATTAATGGTAAAGGGCCCAGCTTTCACCTCCCCCTTTCGACCTCAGCCATGACCTAATGCTCTTGAACTGTCATTTTCTCAATAAATTTTGCTCATCTCCAAGTGGCCTCTCCCAACAAAGAATCCGCAACACTTTTCAAACCTGCCTTTGCAAAATGAAGTAGCAGTAGAGAGCGGGGGGACATGACGTGACGGTTTAAGTAACCATGGGGAGATGTCTGAAGGGGAAGGAGGAAAACAAGCTGTCTAGGATTCAGCCACCTGGTGCTTCCCAGTGTTTGGGACAGGCCTAATAAATAATACCTAACTTGTCTCGCTATACTTGGCACACCTACTGTTCAACTAAACCTGCTTTTAAAAAGGATTCATGTATCACACAAGAGGAAGCTCTGATAAATATACAGTAGGTTATATAAGGTGACAAATTTGATTGATTGTAAATGTAACTATTCCGGTGGAAAGATCGAGCAATCATTTTAAAATAGGGGAATGAAAAAAGAAACAGTGTATGGAACCCAAATATGGCAGGAGTGTATTCATCCATTGGTGTGGGAGTAAATCCGATTAGAAATTCATCTTTCGTTACACTAGCGAACAAAAATGCTAAATAAGCTCTAAATGATGGAATCTACTTTCTTTTTTTAGCTACACTAGAAACCCAAAGTTCTTGTTTTGGTGAAATAAACGGAAACATATTTGTTCCTCACAGCAGTATAAAATTTAAGCCCTTCTCTATCCCTTTTCCTGGATTATTTCCAGAAACTTGTCATGAATCTGAAGCTGTTTTGAAGATGAAGACTGCTGAGAAATTCACAGTTATGACTATCTGCATTTACTGGAATTCCACTTGCATGGGAAGAAAAACCACACTCTGATTTGCCCAAAATGCTAAAGTCAAGGAAACATGAGTAGAGAATTTCAGGCTTTGTTTTGGTGTTTATCCGCTCTGTCCTAGTTCTGTAATTTAGACACATT